TATTAAAACTCTTATTTGAGTGGTCACAAACATCCACACCAGTGTGTTTGGCATCCCTATTAACTGGTTACATGGAGGCAGGGATTTAGTAAAGAAGATTTTCTTTTCTTGGGTTGGCTGTTAGAGTGATAAAATATGCTTGTGGGGCCATTCTGGTTTTGACAGTTTCTCACATCAGGCAAAGTACCCCAAAGGCAGGAATTACAGTTTACTTTGCCTTCCTTACTGAGATGCAGCCTCAGAGGAGCTCAGAATGCAGAGTTTGTTATTTAGCATATTATCTCTTATCCCACATCACAAAGCTTTAAACATACAACTCACAACACCCAAACAGAGATTGGAGTCATTTGACATTTCTGCTCTCTCTCAGAAACAAGGGAGAAGATAGGAAAGAGTGAATGAATTGGTTTTCATAAAAGGCCAGTGAATGTCTTTATCATTGTCCCAGAATGATCAATGTTCCTATTTGAGGAATTGTGAGAGTTCAGTGAAAAATCTCTCTTCTTCTTGGAAGGATAATATTACACTGAAGAATGCGACCAGGGATTTTATGGGTAAAAATTTGAACAGAACACTAGCTCTAGTATGTCCACTCATAGCAAATATTGTCTGTTTTACTCAGGGAGGAGGCATTACGTTTTGATAGACCCACCACGGTGTTTCCTGTTTTCCTCCTGATGGGTACACCGTGTTTACATGTGTCTGACCACAGGTACCCAAAGTCAAGGTCCACCCACGGGAATCCCCAAATCAAATAGCCTCAATTTCTGATTCCTTCACATTACTCAGGCTTGTGCTCTTTTGTGTCACAATTAGGATAAATGAAGAAATCAAAAGGTGTGTCACCTAGTGCAGGATGTAGAAACTATGAACAAAGGTAAACAGCTCAGGTATCCAAAATGCCAAGAATGTTCCAGAATGTTTTGCTTTCTTGGTGTATAATATGTTTTTTGAATAAAGTTTACCTTATTTTTGAGGATTACATTATTAACATAAAATTGTTTCACTTTTTAGTATTCATTTAACATAAATTATATCATTAAATCACATAAATATTAGTTATATAATTATTATTACCAAATTCTATAACACAAAACATTGCCTCTTTTAATCTTTGCAGTAACACAGTGAGATGTAGTCACTATTCTTTGTCTTCTTTTATAAATTAGTAAACTGAGACTTCAAGGGATTCAATAATTTACCAAAATTACATTGTTGATATGTACTTGGGATCTGAAATCAGGAATTCTGACTCTGGGCTACTCTTTCTTCATCACTAGTAAAATGCAGAAGACTATAAAGACAAAACAAAAACAAAAACCCTACTCAAAGGTGACTATTAATGTAGTAATTATTTCACATTTTTGTCCCGTACATAGGCTTCACACAACTGATTCTAGCCTTTATATTCAATTTTTTTATGTATGAAACACTTATTTTTTCCCCTCCTTTTCTCACTGCATAGTATGTTCCCTCAGTCTTGCAAGGTGCTCCTTGGGACACCTCCAACACATATCAGGACATCATGGGACTTTGAAGATTCCAGGGAATTCAAGGGTTCCTAAGACACAGACTTTGAGGTCTAAAACTGGGACAGTCTGGGCAAGGATGAGTTGTTTACCCCACACATTTCACCTGCCCACTCCACCAGGGAAGGACGGGGCTTGTCTCCAATTCACCTCTTCAGAAGTATGATGAACATTCTTGTAAATGTCTGTTTTGACCCATGTAATTATTTCTTTGAGATGTACACCAGGACTGAGCGTCTTGCCCCCTAGTGTCTGCATATACTTAACCTGACCAGCAATGTCTCTGCCTGCACTCCCACCAGGAGTGTGGTGCTTACTGTGGCCACATCCACACATGTGCCCGAGTTTTCCCAGGCTGCTTATTCCACCAGTGGTCATGTCTCATTGTTGACTTAGTTTGTATTTCACTGATCTGTAATAGATTTGAATATCTCTTGATTAACTTTTAGCCTCTTAATTTCCTCTTTTGTAAATTATCTGTCCCTATTCCCTGTCCTTTTCCCATTTGGAAAGGGTACATTTTTCTTATTGATTAGCAAGTCTTCTCTGTATATTCTAGATGTCAACCAATATTTTAACTATGGAAGATATCTATCCTCAGTCTGTTGACTGGATCTGTGGTGCCTCTTTATGGACCAAAAGTCCTTAATTTTTAGATGCATTCAAATTTTGTTGAAATAAGCCCCCCACCAGATCACCACGGGGGTGTGTTATGTACATATACCAGTTCTACACAGTGGATGTAATCATGTACTGCAAACATGTACTAACAAAAACCCAAATATGTTCTACAATATTTTAAGTCTTTTTTATATCTTGCTTTAGATAAAAAAAACCCAACCCTGAAGCCTATAATGGTTTTTCCATGTTGTTGAACAGTCTTATAAGTGTTGTAATGGCTTTCTAATGCCCTCCTTCTATATGTGCACTGATCTTTACCCATTTTCTTATGGCTGGCCTTTTTCGGCCTCTAGTTTCATGTTACAATCATTACTTGTCATTCGCTATCATTATGCAGATTTTTTTGTGTTCTTTAGAATATGCTATCTCAGAAGTCAAATTCCAAACCCTCAAAAGCAAACACCTTGAAGTGTGCTTAGGTGCAGATTGTCAAATGGTTTCCCAAAGAATTGGAGAAAAGACACTTTTCACCATGGCTGTAACGCTATGAAGTACCTGCCTCCCATTCACATGTAGCACTAAGAACAATGTCTTAAAATGTTTGCTGGACCCAGGCAGATAACTCAGCAGACTAAAGTGCCTGCTTAGGCAGACACGGGAACCGGAGTTCAATCCCTAGCATACTTTTGGCCCCATTCCTGGGGTGCCCTGAGACTGGACATGGTGGTACGTGCCTATAAAACCAGTGCTTGGGAGGCTGAAAACAGGAAGGTCACTCCAAGTTCAATCTGTGTAGTGAGACTCTGTAGACCCTGTACTAAACACATAAAAAAAATAGTTGGCTAATGTAATTAGAATGTGGCCTTTTATTGTTTGATTTTTATTTCTCTACCTTGAGAGCTGACAGTTCATTCATATCGGCTGATCAACTATGAAGTATTCATGAGTAGTGTGTTTAGATCCTCTGCCTGTCTGCCTAGCGATGCCATGCAAAAGCTTTGGAGGAATCAAAAAGAGAAGAGCTAAAAGTTTTCCATTCTCCTATGTATTTTCCTGTGTGTACTGGACACAAGCCTTTCGTCTTTCCCCAAACCTTGTGTGGGATATTTTTCTGTTGAGAGTCTATGTAAAGTGCGAAGTGTACTATTGTATGCTTCTAAAGGATACTGTATTTTGTTTTCTGCTGAGTGTGGCCTATGCATGAGTCTGCATCTGAGCTCTCTTTTAGGTCATAAGTTCCTAACGGGCCACTCTGAGTCTTCAGAAGGAGTTTAGTACACTTGCTTTGGTAGTGTTTACAGCATCTGTGGAAAAGCCCTTCCAGCCAGTGATGCTCCGAGCATCGCATGTGCTACCTTGAGGGTCCTGATGAGAAGAGTTAGAAGGACATTAGGCTGGCTGTGTCAACACGTCTTTGTTTCAATTAAAATAATCCCAGCATTCTAGGAGGCTGAGATGGGAGGATTTTAAACTTGAGCCCAGCAGAAGCAATTTAGTGACTTCATTGGACCCTGTTTCACAATAAAAAGGCGTGGTTCAGGATGTAGCTCAGTGGGAAGACCTGAGTTAAATCAGAGAAGACAAACTAATCAATTCAAGCGACCCTCCCCTATTGATAGGTGGATCGCTTTTCTTTAATCAGACCTAAAGGCTTCTGGTGTTTTTGAAGAAGTAGTTCTAGAGGAGGAAGGTATGCAAGATTAGAGCTCAAAAACTCAGATAATTTGTTCTGTGTTTTCCATAATTGAATACTTGTGGAAATAATCCTGAACCTTGTCCTCTGTTAATCCCCTTGTTTTTCTCTGTCAGAAACAGAATAGTGATATCAACAATAACTGACATTTCTAGAGCACTTTAAAGCATTATAGCTCAACTTCCTGGCCCAGCGACTCACGGGTTCCTCACAGCAGCTCTGTGAAGTGGACAGTGACCTTCATCTTCCACATTTGAAGAAGCAGACACAATGGAAATAGCATGAGAATGCAACAGAGCTTTCTGTTCACTAAAGTGCAGAATTAAAAGTTTGTTACTATGTTTTATCATCGCAATTTACTCCAAGGAAATAATCTGTTAAAGTTATGAAGCATGGTAAAAGAAGGAAAAGGTAAATAATTAAGGAAATTTTGGACACTCATAAGAAAGGACACCTTGGCTACCAAGGAGAACTGCATTGAATGAGAAAAAAAATTGAAGAGGATGGGTGAAATCAGCTTATAAACTTGATGATTCTTTTCAGGTGCTAAGGAATATTTAATCATTTTTCATTATTGATGCGTGTAGTTTTTCCACTTACTACAAAGATCAGCAATATAGTACACCCAACTATCAGACATTGTTTACCTATTTAAGATAATAAGGAAGATATGTGTCTACTATCTGTTATAAGGACAAGTGCATAGGTAGATGGACCTGGGCTGTTTTAGAATTTAAGTAGCCCTTACAAAGAGCAATCTGCGAGCTTCATTTTTTCCCTCATCTGAAAACAGAAAAGAATATTGGACAAAGGAATTGAGGGAGATGCATTGGAAACTTGATGGCAATGCCTGGGGTAGGAAACTTCCACGAAGATCAGCCCTTCGGTGTTTAGGAGAGTCTGGCGAAGGTTAAAGCCTTTTGGCTTTGGGTACCAGAGAGCAAACTAAAAATTTTCTAGGCCAACAAGCCTTGAAGTCCCTCTAAGGTCAGAGAGCTTCAACCCAAGTAGTGCATTGCATATGCTTGTTTAGGAGATCATGGGTGATCTCAAAGGATAAAGGCGTTTTGTCCTAAGAATCGAGGCAGAGTAAGGGTCTGATTTGCCTGGAATAGCCTTGTACCTTGAAGTAGGTTAATGTCTTGCTTGCATTTCAGGATTCTATGGACAGCTTCAGACGTTCTGCCCTCCACATTACCCCGAATCCCAGAGAACTGTGCCAGCTGGCAGCTCCTGCAGTGTGGTGCCCTCCTTCGAGGATTGCCTAGTCCCTGCATCCATGGGCCAGGCTGGTTTTGATGTTTTCCACAGAGCCTTCTCAACTCACTCAGGCATTGCAGGTATGTGGGGTGTCTGTGACTTAGAAACTCAGGCCACCTGGCCAGCGAGACCTGACAGGTTCCCGTGACTAGCATGAACTAGCCTTGACCCAGCAAGTAACTGTAGCAGATCTGTTGCTCTTGCCCATGTACCTGCCCTTCCTCCCAGCCCTTCTTCAGTCCTCTTTCCCCCATCCTGTTGCAGTCGCCAGCATCTGTGTCATGGGCCGTGGCAGTAGCCTTCCAAGCATCCTCCCTGTGTCTCCCTCCTCCTCCTCTGTACCTTTGTGCCCTCTACTACCCTAAACATTGCCTTCCAAAACTAGGAGATAAAATAGCCCATATTCCTCCTCAGATAGCTTCAGCAACTTCCACTTGTGTAGAGAATAAACTGTTCTCTCCATCATGGCAAGGAAGCCCCTTTGACTCAGGAAGGATCAAACTCCCAGACCTGCCTGCACATCATTTTGCTCTGTGCTCTACTCTTGACCTGCACCAGCATTCTTGACTGCCCCCCCCCATTGTAGTATTTTCAACCCCATCTGTCTTTGTAGTATTTTCAACTTCTGGGTTATTCTTTCCCTTCTTAGGCATCTCTTTTATAATCCCGTTTTCTTTGATGATTACTGTCACCTCATTTTTGAGGCCACCTCCATCCCTCCCTAAAACACTTATCTTTAAATTCTACTTAACTTGTGCTGAGTCATGGTTTGGCAGCAGCCTGTAGGTCCCCTCCTGCCCACTGGTTCCTAAGCACAGAGCCCTTCCCCCCAGAAGGCTAGCACTTGGCGAACTGCTCTGCGGTGCACCCAGGAAAGGCAGGGCCTACTTTCTGACTTCCTGTGTTCTTTCTCTTCCAGTATATGATTTGCCTTCAGCCTCCTCAAGCCTCTTTGGGGAGTCTCTTCGCAGTGGGCCCGATGACTCCACATTCTTACAGATCAGTGCTGTGGACCGCTGCCCCAGCCAGCTTTCCTCAGTTTATACTGAAAGCTAAAGGCTCCGCTGACCTCTGCTGAATACCCAGAATCTCTTGAGTTGTTTGCTGCCTTTTCTTTTCAGACCATCACAGGCTGCATAAAGAAGGGTGTTAACCGGATCGGTGAAGCCTGCAAGCTCACCATGGCTTTGGAAAGCAGGATGGGATGAGCCGAGCTGGCTTCGCAGCAGTATTTGCACTTGCTCCTTTTTCTCGCTGGATTTGGTGACCACGTGACCAGCAGGACCATCTCTTCAAAGGGAACATAAGAGTTTCACTTTACTGGATACCTGTTACTTCCTGGCTGTTAACCCTCAGAGGACACCAATGAAAGGATATGGATATTAAATTGGGGCTTGGGGATGACCCTTGCTGAAAACTCCAAAGTGGGACGAGCCCAGTTACCAGAGGCGCAGGGAGCTGCTTCTCCCAACTGCAGAAGGTGCAAAGCCAAGCACAGTGAAGGGAATCCACTTCCAAAGCATCCTGCAGTCTCAACTCTCAGAAATTCCTGAGTTTTTTTTCCCTCTTCTCTTAGATATCATCATGGTAAACAGTTGTAGTCAGTGTTTCCCCACTGACAGAAGGTTTTCTGTTTCATCAACCTACTTTATTTTTTTAATATTAGAGACTTGTTACTTATGTCTGCTTAAGAGGAAAAAAAATAACAAGCTTTTGTTTTCTGGGCAGAAATCATGATCATTGTAGTCACTAGCTATATACATTTCGCCATAGCTGTGGCTCTGCTTGGCCCAACTGCTGGAATGTTCTGCAATTTGCAAAGCTATCTGGGGGGAACAGAGTGGGCAGTCGTGTGTGCACGCAGGAGGGCACACACACACACACACACACACACACACACACACACACACACTCTGTACCCAGAGCTGCAGCAGGAACCCTCATGGACTGCTCAGTGACTCCATTTGGAAAACTTCATCCATTGGAAAAGACCATTTGAATTGGTTGCTTCCTGCTTTCACTGTGGCACTCCACCTAAGTGCTGGGACTGCGGGAACAGGGACACGTGGCAGGTCATATGTGTCGTTCCCACAGAAAACCCACCCCAGGATGCCTGGCATCCAGTTACTTTGCACAGCCGCTGCCCAGCTCCCTCAGGGTACCCACACATCCGCCTGTCTTTCCTGAATATTCTCCCCTTCCTGTTTTCTGGTTTTCACTTTTCACTTCTCAATAGCTCTTTTTTTTTTTTTTTTTTTCAACAGGGTCTCACTGTGCAGTTCAGGCTGGCCTTGTGTGCGCTTTTGTATTCCATGCCAGTCTTGAACTTGCAGCAATCCTCCTGTCTCAATCTTCCCAGGGCTGGGATTTCGATATCTTGTTGACTGTGTTTCAGACATGCTAGCCATATCCTATCATCTCTTGGTGTCACCTCTTGGGGAGGTGTAGGGAACGGTTCGCAGGGGGTAGGTGAACAAATGCCACCTTTTTTTCTAAAACTGACTTGAAGACCTCACAGAGCACTTGTCCATTTTATATCAAGCCTGAAGAAGTCATTTGTATTGACAAGTAAGAAGGTCTTGTGTCCTAGGGCCAAGCCCAAAACAGTCAGTTCCAGCATTCCGGTACACTCACATTTCATGGTTTCTTTTCTCTCTTTTAAAGAATATTTTCTGAACAATTATTCATCAAATTGAGATAATTACAGTCTTCAACAAGACAATTAAACAGCATGGTGTCAGACTTGGGGCCCTGTGACAAGTTTGTTTTGTGACAGATGGGTCCTTCTAGTCTGGTTCTAAAATCAGAAGTGTTCTACCTAATTCCCATGTTCTTTCAGTGTACAGTAGGATGAGGGGCCTGAGGAGCCAAGTGTGGATTCTGATTTTACAGCACGCTGGGCTGGTCTAGCTTTTCTTGATAGGGGGCTGTGTTCTAAGGAGAGCCGTTGTGCCGCTGTCCAAGTCTGCAGGAGATTTGAATTAACCACATCACACAGATCTGCTCTGCTTTGCTCTGCAAAGGTTGTGCATCAGGCTCCATTGACAAGTGAGCGCTGAGACTGCGCGTGAATACCACCCTTCTCGCAGACATTAGGGTTGTGTTGCGTGGCCTAAGCAAGGGCATGTGCTGATGCTGGCTGGCTCAGTCAGCAGCACGTAGTCCGTGTCCTCTGTGACATGCTAGAAAGAAAGGAAGACTGCTGTCCATTCTTTACTACTGACACTGTGACAAGCAACTCAATACATTTTGTTGATGTGACGAGGAGAAGAACAGGAGAAGGTGTGGGTTGTGATTGCAGTTGATGTTGTCAGCCCTGCCTTAGGCTTTATAGATACATTGAAGTGGAAAGCAGGAAGGACAACAAAGCGAGAAGCTGGACAGCAGGCACCAAGGATGTCGTCTCCCCCTTTGGCTAAGAGGAGCTGCTCACCAGCTAGGCTCTGGTCTCAGCGATGCTGTTCCTCCCTTGTCTCACCTGGCCTGGAAAGATCCAAGGAGAGCCAAGGGGCAGCCGCACCTCCAGCACCTCCTTCCTCAGCAGGGATTTTCTCGTTGTCAGAGGAAGCCCCTCGCAGGGGCCGCAGTATTGCCCAGTAGCCATGCAGGTTCGAGATTAGGACCTCAGGCCAAGACATATTCGCATGCCTTCAGACTCCAAAAGCTATCCTAGGTTCCAGAATTTCTCCCAACATGAAAATTGGCCCCTTGCTTTCTTTTGCATTGTAGAAGATCTATACATCCTAGTATTTTGTAGCAGTAAACGTGAAACTTCCAAAGATCATTCGCTCTCATTTCCTGACCTTTTTAGTCTTGCCATATAGCCATTTTCATAAACATCTAAGCAGAGATTATCATTCTGCTTTAAAAAGAAAGAAAGAAAAACAAAAAAATCCTGGTGCTTGTGAAAACATGTAGCCCAAAGCCAATTATCCTATTACATTCAAAATAAATCAGTATGCCTGGGGGCCATTCAATTTGCTACATTGTTCTAATTCCCTATAGAGACTACATCAAAATGTCAGTTGTAATTTAGTCTCTGATCAACATTTAAATATTATTTAAATATTTACTGGTCCTGTGAGGTCTCTCCTTCTACTCTTGTCTCCTGCAAATTGCCTAGGTGATCCTAACATGGGGAAAGAGGTTGTTAGCAGAGCGCAGCCTAGTTTCCACTGATAATAGTGTGTTGGGTTTGTTCAGTTTTAAAATTATTAGCTCTCAAGCACACTAGTACACTAATACCAGTTTTGAACAGGGACAACTGTTCAACTCCCCCATCCGAAAACCTTGACTTTCCAGTTGCCTTCGAGTATTGGGAACAGTGACTGTAACTGTTCAGTGTAATTGTTGTGTTCGGTGTTTCATTGGACTGTTTTACCACGTCATTTTATAGCAGCGTTTCTTAAAGGCACTTTTTGTTGGTGGTATGGAATTTCTGCAGTTATATATATATATATATATATATATATATATATATTTTTTTTTTTTTTTTTTTTTGAGAGGGGTAAAGGAAAAAAAAGAAGGAAAAACCAAACTCAATGGAGAAATGGTGAGTGTAAAAAAGAAGAGATTTATTTTGTACAGACAGCAAAGCATCCTGTGTAATGTTGCTGACATAAAGCATTTTAGGGGGTGGAAATCTGTTTTCCATAAATCACACAGGCTTTTGTACATGCTTATATACACTCACGTAGAGAAATGAACTGCATATATCATGCTGGATACGGGGCCCATTTTACTCTAGAGGCACATCTGGTGCTTATTGTCATAAATCTTTTAAAGAATTAGGTACACTTTTTTCTATTAATATGTATAGTTTTGTGATTTGTCACAGTTATGTTTCATATAATCATAAGTTATTTTGTCTTGTTTCTTGAAGTTCTTTTTTTATGTCAAAGTAAAATGAAGGGATTGTGCACTTGGTACAGAATAAAACTGGAACTACAGGATACGCCCTCCTGCCTGAAATCCTCTGTCGCAAGTCGCTCTAAGGCACAATGGCAGCAACCATTGTTTGTTTGTTTGTTTGATTATTTTGTTTTGTTTTGCCATCAGCCTCCTATGTATTCGGGATGGTAATTATAATTAAAAGCAGATGGGGGAGGGGTCCGAGGCCAGCTTTAAAATGCCTCACTGCTTTGGGCCAGAGCTGCAGCCTGGATTTAATTATAGATATGAGGACGAGATGGCAGTAAAAATGAATGTCTCCCTGAATCCTTTACATGTTGGGAGTGTCCATAAATAAAACATGAAGCTTTATTTCATCAGATTTAATTAAAGCTTTTATACATGTTTTATTGGTTATTCTATTAATCCGCTTCACAAACTGGATAAATGTGTGCTGGAGTTTGGGGTTTATTTGTGCCTTTTCAGTATAGTGCTACATCATGCTTTAGAAATCCCTGTGGCGCTCAGTGCCCCAGGTGCTGGGGCTGGGTGTCTGCTGGCTGGCGGTTCGAGGGGGGAGCTTTTCCAGCACCCATTTTCCTTAAATCCTCCTGAGAAGGACACAAGCCTCAGCTTCCCAGGGGGTGGATTCCCTGACCTTTCTAGTCCTCTCATTCCCTGGAGGAAGAGAAAAGGGCAGCTACCATTTCACTGGTGTCCCCACCCGACCTTCTGGCCATGCTGAGCCAACTGCCTCTGCACCCATCTGTGGGGAGGGGACCGGGATGGTCTCAGCTCTCTGGGTGCCTACCCTGTTCATATTAGAAACTTTGGTTTTTCCGATTATTTAAGATGTGAGAATAATTTAAAAGAACAGTGCAAAGCTGAAGAAACTGCGGCCCCTGTGTGTTTGCCAGGCATCCAGTTCACAGAGCAGATAGACACTGGTTCCTGATATAGAGGTAGAAACAGCACCGAATGACAAAACTTAGGAGAGCGCCTCAGCTTCCTAGAGTGGGCCGCAGTGTGAGTCGGTCCAACCTCTCTGGAGAGCAGTTTGACGTTGAGATTTGAAGGTATACATTTCCTGTATCCCACAAACGCATCCCTCCTGAGATACACTGAAATCGACCATGGCTCAGATGGCCCCAGCACCGTCACTCAACATTTGCCTCAAGCTGGAAATGACTCCACTGTCCACCAATGGTAAAACAAATCAATGAGTCTTGCCTAGGTGACATCATGAGTGACTTACAGAATAGCAATGACAGAACTGCAGTCACACACTGTAACTCAGAATTGAGCCCAACAAACAAATTGAGCCCAATAGGCCAAGAAAGAAACAGACACCAAGATGGGAATGCAGTGTTATCCAATTAATGCATAACTTCAGAAACAAGCAACCATGGAATAAGTGGTAAAAGTATAGAGAACTGGGCTGGGGAGATAGCTCAGTGGAATAAGTGCTTGCCCAACAAGCACAAGGTTCTAAGTTCGATCCCTGGTACCCCCCCCCAGAAAAAAAGGAATAAATAAAAGTATAGACAACAATCAAGACATGGTATCGCAAAGGCCTGGCTTTGGTGAGGGAGGAAGGATATACAGAGATGTCCTCTGCTGCGGAGGACAGTGTTTTATTTCTTGATCCAAGTGTTATACAGGTGTTTGCCTTATAATTATTTAACTGTGTATCTATATTTTATAGTGTTCAAGTAACTGAGCCAGATCTTCTGTCCCCTACTCTGAGGCACACAAACTTCTGCAAAGAGGCAGGTGGTGTGTATTTTAGGCTTTGAAGGCTACCTGGTCTCTGTCTCAGCTACTCAATGGTGCCACCTGCATAGCTCAAAAGCAACCATAGACAAAATGCAAACAAGTGGGTGTGCTGTGTTCCAGTAAAACTGTTTATGGATGCAAATCTGCAATTCATCTAATTTTCAGATGGCATAAAATAGTGTTTTTTTAAAAAGTTCCCTTATTTAGCAAGGTAACAGAATATTCATAATTCAGTCTATACAAAACCACCAAGGAGTCAGGCAGGATTGGGCCCCTGGGCCAGTTTGCTGACACTTGCCAATTGAATGAACATTCACTAACCCTTCCCATAAATATCCACTCCAAGAAAACTGCAGATCAGAGCCCCTGGACTGTTCTTCTGCCTCTCTGAGTCCTTTCCTAGAGGACTTTCATGAGTTCTATTGATTCAACTTCTCTTTGTTCAGATCCTGGTTCTGTTCCCTGGGATACAGATGAATGCTTACAGCTTGGAGTGCCTTCGACTTTATCTCTGGATTTAATGTTTTTAATAAAAGAAACCGGGCATAGAGAAATCTGTGAGAATTGGAAAATGAGCATCCATTCT